TCCTGGGGACAGAGTCGTAGACTTAGAGTACGCCGATGATATTGCCTTACAGGGTGACAACGCACCAACGATTCAAGAGTCGTTGAACCGTTTGGCAATTGAAGTTACTCGCTATGGTAAGTCATTTGCACCCTCAAAGTGAGGGCGAAGAGATCTCTCAAAGCGTGATCAAAGCTAGATTAGCGTTTGCAAATCTGCGGCATCTTTGGCGTCGGCGCAATATATCCCTTTCATTGAAAGGACGTGTGTATTGCGCAACGGTACGCACCGTGTTGCTCTATGGCTGCGAGACCCGGCCTCTTCGAGCAGATCACGTCCACCAGCTATCAGTCTTCGACAACCGTTGTCTGTGCAACATCGCCCGCGTATGGTGGGAGCATCGCATGAATAATGATGAAGTCAGACGACGGGTGCTAGGACCAGATAGTCTTCCTTCGGGCAAAATAATTTCACAGCATCATCTTAGGTGGCTAGGGCACGTTGTACGAATGCCTGAGCACCGTCTACAACACCGTGCACTACCCGCAAACATCGGTCCAGGTTGGAAGAAACAATGAGGTGGGCAGGCTATGACGTGGCGCAGAGGGTTCAAGAGATTGTGCTCGGATCTGGCTTCCTTTGGGGTTTCTCCGCTGGGGGGCCAAAGATTCAGATCGTCTTTGGCTGGAGACACTGCGGGATATGGCATCGAACCGAAGTCAGTGGCGCGAATGCATCACCTCTTGTCTACAATCCCAAAAATAAACAAAAACGAAAAAACTCAAAATGGCGTGCAGTGAACAAACAAAAAAATATTGTTACTCCTCGAAGTTGACTGTTTTACTTTCCCCGTTTTTGTACCTATATTTTTTCGTCCACCCATGGTTATCTTTGGCGCCGTATCTGTAAAGATTGGTAAATAATAAAAAATAAAAATAAATACCTTCCCAAGGGGCACTGCACGGAAATCAACTTGAGTTAAGGATCGCTATCTACTTCTAATAAATGTTGTCGACCTTCATTATAATCCGCATTACTTTACTACTAAATATGGGAGATAATGTCACTATATCCGCAATACTAGGCATTGAAATACGTGAAAGTCATACACTTTGGAGAAGTAAACAGTAATAGAAACTTCAAAACCATAGAAGCATAGAAAGGGGCTATTGGAAGTAAACGTACTGACTATTTATTGAGGGATCGGATCCACGCCTCCTGTCTTGTGGAATTGGGTTTCGGGACGGGGAGGAAGAGGAGGAGGAAGATACGTTGCTCGACTGACGAGGTTCCCCCGCAGCCGGGAGGACAGCGGGATGAGTCGCTGATACGGGTGCAGGAGCGACGGCTACGGTTTCGGGTGTTTGGGAATTGCCTATAGCTGTAGGAGCCGGGGCGGCCGGTGAAGCACGGACTGTGTCGAAAATCCATTTGAGAGTTTCTGCTGAGCTGTTCTGTGAATTGCCCTCGCGGTGTTTCTTCTGCTTATCTTTCGAAGCATCGGAAGAACTTCAAAGGAAGAAACAAAAAAAGTTAACCCACGATTTTTATCATGAGATGCCATAACTGTGCGTGTGTATGTGTGCATGACAGCCCACTCACACTGGATAGGCAAAGATTTCAAAAAATGTGGAATCAACGTCCAAATGTCCTGGGGTGAAAACATTATTTTCAAGTCCAGGGGCCTATTTTTTCCAGGATTTTTAAATTATTTTCACCTAGTGAGTTTCGAGTTACGTCTTTGTGGGCTTTTGCAACTCCTTCCCTATCCCGACCATTTCAATCGTAGATTTATTGTTGAATTCCCGCAATCGCTTCACTGTTTGGTGAGCAAGAGAGTCTATTTACAGAGGAAATCGTCACTTAAATTTCAGTTACTTTTACATCGACCACACAGAGAGAGACACTTGCAGCTGAGGGACAGATCGTTCACATAGGCTGCATTAGGCTTCCTGGTTGGGAACCTCGGGATTATTGTATTCAACGGTTAGAAACACCGAACGATATGGCTCTATTGTAGATAGTGGCCCTCGTGCATCTTAATTTCTTTGCTACCTCATTACTTATGAGATCTCCATTTTTTACTCTGAAACTGATTTGAATACCCTAATTTTCCCTTTACTTCTTCATCCTAAACTGGTGCTAGAAAGTCGGTGGTTAACGGAACGTAACGGAGTGTAACCAATACTGCACAGAACGTAGATTTTAGGGGAGGGTGGGTGGTAGTCTTCCGCGCTACTGACGGGCATACCTATTCAGTTATTTGTTTCTTGTATCTTGCCTGTTTTATAGAACATTACGTAGTAGCGCTCCGTTTGTATCTATAGATTTGACTTTATTGTGTTGCATTGGGTGTATTGTGTTTACTGTGCCAAATACGTGTGGTGCATTTGCCGCCGGGAGTTGCTCATATTCCGGTACACAACAAAACGTTAGAGCAAAGTATGGGGAAACGACACGAATCATATCGTTTT